CCCCCCCCCCCCCTCCCTCCCCCGCTCCCGTGCATGTACACTCTCGCGAAACCCCGATGGATATTTTCACACTTACGCGTGTTATACCATACGTCGCACACACATACACACATATAGCGCGTGTCGAATGCTACACCACGTGGTCGCGCACGCGAGATACATACAAGCGCACAAGAGAGAGAGAGAGAGAGAGAGAGATTGATTCGACGACGACGCGCGTCGCTTATTCAGCCGATCGGTGGTAGAGGGTCGACCGATCGGCCGGCCGGCCGGATCGTACGAGCCGCACGAAGCACTACACGCAGCAAAAATGAGCGAGCGCGCGAGAAAAAGATGACGAAGGCGAGACACGCGAGACGAAGGCGAAACGAATCGCGGACAAAACTGCCAAGTTGGACCACCCCTGCTTTCCGTACAGTCTCTCATGCGTACTCGAGTCCTCGAGGACCTCGGTGAATCCGTCGTGGATCGTGATCGAACGCTGCGCGAGGGCGATCGACATGGGAGCCAATGCCTACCGCGACGACGATTTTGTCTCGGTGAATCGCGTAGTTTCGTTGCTCGACTTCGCGTTGTCGGGACCTCCGACGACCGTGAGAACCTCGAGGCTCGGCCGAGGATCGCGACTGACCAAGTCACGCCACGCGCTTTTTTCCCTTTTTCCTCCTTCTGCTCTACGCTATTTGTTATTTTTCTTTCTTTCCTCCCGCCGAAATAGATCCCGCCCACACAGCTGGCTCGTAGGGGCAACAGCGAGAAGACTCCCGTGTTAGTTACTTAGCCGGCAATTAATCGGTCTCTCATGGACACGCGAAATCGTTCCCGAGCTCGTGAAATTTCGCATCGCTCTGTGTCACGACATCGGTATTAAACGAAGAAAACACGGCTTGACGCGAGACACAATATTCCGGGTCTGACAATTTGGTCCGCGGCAAGTTCTGGCGCGCGCGAGAGAGAGAGAGAGAGAACGCGCAGTTAGACATTCTCTCGATCAAATCTTCGAAACTTCCGCTCGTCAAGTGGCTCTCGACGCGACGACTGTGTGCACCGGATGCGAACTGCCGCATAGAGTTCCACCTCTATGCAAAGTGCCTCGCTCAGATCTCAAACACAAGAGTCCCAAGCGTTCCCTTTAATAGAACCACGAGGTAAAAGCGTTTATTCCACCGAGGATGCTTAGGCCACGCGCTCGCGTTGTTGTTTAATCGCTCCCGAGTGTGTCGGTGAAACTGCCGATGAGAAAGCCGCAATAATTTCCTTCTAGATTTTCATCAGCAATATGTCTGATAAGTTGCTCATACACACATGTACGAACGTCAGAGAACTCGTAAAACAACTTCAATTATTCTCGATTGCAGATCTTGAAATGTTTATAACAATTAATTTGTCATTGTCCATTATCGCGTGAATGTGCGATGTTATGTAATTCAGCATCAGGTATTGTTGACCCAATTTACACAAGTGAGAGAGAGAAAGAAAGCACTTGTCGTAAGTGAGAGAAGATCCAAAATTAGCATATTGATTGCCGCGTAAATTTCCATTAATCGTGCAAAACGGATGTGGTCGAATTATTAAATAAATTTCTCACAACGTTTGCCCGATAATTCTACCCTCAACGATAAGACAACAACACAGACGCTCGTTAAAAATATCGGTTTCCGTTTCATATCTACGTAGATTCGTTCGCGAGTTAAAGCTCTTTAAAATTTCACCAAGCTCGGTATCGGCGAACGCTAGCGCGTGAGACATGGCGCTTTAAAATTGCATTGCGCACGCGCCAGCGAGTCAACGACCGCGCGGATGAGCGACACGTGGTCAACAGCTGATATAGCGCGAGAGTGGGGGGCGAGGCCGCCTTTTAGCGCGTAACTTATATATATGTATAGTCGACATTTACATTCCATGTTAGAAAAATATTAAGAAACTTTTTTTGTTTCAATGGAACAATATTTAATATATAAAGAAACAAATTTTTCTTTATTGAAAACCAAATATTATTTCCTCCAAATAATATTGTTTTTTCCACCAAACAATATTATTTACTCTGGTGGAGCAACGACATTTTCATACAAACAAAATGATATTTGGTATTAAATTATGTTGTGCACTTTAAACAAATCCAAGTCAAACAAAACACGTATACTAAAGAAACCAAAGAAACATTTTTCCCCGTGCACAGAGTCCTTTAAATTCGACGAAATTTGTAAGGTTAATTTCACCGTCATTTGTATAATCAAGATCCTCCCACGTGTATCGCATCTACAAAAGAACAGCGCTTGCACTGACACAATCGGCGATCCGCGGTCGCTGCCGTTGGTATCGGTAGTGTAAGGAAAAGTAGTGTGCGCGATCCTGAGTTTAATCAAACAATTAATTCTCGGGACGGGTGCCTGCAGTTCTCCCGAGTCCTCATTAGCGTAAACTCGTCAAGCGAGCCGGTACTTTTTCCATGCCGCACGCGGCTAATTACCGTACCGACTCACGGATCCGCTCGTTAACGCGCGGTCACGTGGATTCTCCGAATCAGTGTTTCATTTGAACGAGCGAATTTCGCGAAACTGCCGTATCGTTCATTCTCCACGCTATTTGCTCCATCAACTGCGGATCAGTTTTACGTTCTTGGTCTTGTGTCGGTTCGTAGTTTCAAATCCCATCGATTCGCAACAGCTTGCACACGCTATTTGCGGGGGATCCGATTATTTTCGCGCGTTTTTGCGTTCGATGCGTTAACCTCGGGGTAAAATTATTGAGACAGGCGAAATGCATAAGATAGATAAATATTCAAGACCTCAGCGGCCATGTGGGTAAAAATAATGGTATAGTGGTGGTAAAAATAATGGATGGTTAATATTAATTCACAAAGGCCTTTGTAATATTTAATAGAGAAACAAATTTGTGTTATTTTGTTTCTTCGGAGGACTTTTCGTTTCCTGAACAATTCTATTTCTCCTAGCCTCACACGCGCCCGTGCAGTTGATAACGTCAACGTTATCTTCAGTTTCTATTTTTCTTTTCTCTTTTTTAATTCGGACCGTTTCCTTTATTCCAAAATCGGGCAATTAACTGCAGCCCGACGTGTACGTAAAAATTGGCGCAATTAACAGAGCGACTTGGGCAGCACGAGATGAGAATTCCCGTCGTCACAGTCGTCGAAGGTTTCGAGACGTTATTACCGAAAATCCCCGTTGTTAAATCCATTCTCCCTCCTCCCTGTCCTCGTTTAACGAAGCTGTACGGAATGACAGAGTAATATAAAACGTTCAAGCGACGCGAGCAAGAGAAAATATAATAATGAGTAACATTGAAGTGTTCCGATTAAATACTCAAATAAAAATATGTACATAAGCGAGAAAAAAAAGCTTGCGTGGCGTGGGACTCGAGAGAGTACATCGTAGCTGTCTAGTTGGTACACGAGCGAAAAGTGTCATCGGCTGAGCACATATATGCACACTTAACCCCCACACACCCACACACACACACACAAACACACACACACACACACACACGCACGCACGCACGCACACGCACGCACGCACGCACGCACGCACATGCACACGAATGCACATCCACGACGAATCGCTTGAGAGAATACGAGAGCGACGCGAACGTTGATCTGCGCGAAAAGGGAACTCCGCTTCGACGAGTTGCTGGATCGTCGACGATGGTCGATCGCGCGCCGATCGAGATCGTCGATCGCTCCGGGATCGACCGACGACCCCCTGAAAGAAAGAAAAAAAAAAACGGAAAACCAGAGAAGCAAAAAATCGCGCACCGAGGGCGATCCACCGGCGCGGGAAGGACCGAGCAAATCAAATCAAATCGAAGCGAGAATCACCGCGAATCGTTAACCCGGGAGCGGTTCCGCTGATTATTGCCGATCATTGCCGACAATCATTTCGCGCTCTAGGTTTTGCGCGCCCGCGGAACACGAACGCAGCGAGGAACGAACGATATTGTGATATATGTGATCCTCGGGACGCGTGCACGAGGGAACAGGACGAGGTGCGAGCGACGCAATTTCGAGCACAACGAATACGCGAGAAGTAGAATTTCGTGAGCACGCGAGCAGGAGAACTCTCACTGCGGGGCCCGTTCGCATCGCGCGATTGCTCGACACCCGGGCCGGTGTCGTCGCGGGTATTGTTTGTAAAATAACGGCTGCATTTCCGCACGCGTAACCTGTGCACACGCACCTGTGCGAAAGCTCCGCCGTAAATATGGAATTCATTGGGCAGATTACACGACGACGCAACGATACAGTTTGTCTAAGCGCGCTTATGCTAATAATCGCGATTGTTGAATCAACTAATTTGTATAATCACTGATTCAACAAATAATTACGTAATTTGTCCGGTCGGTTTGATAGCTCGTTTGCTCGAGCTTTGTTAAATCGAGCGTTAGTTTCATGGGTTCGAAGGAAAAAAAGAATAAAATCAAAGGAGAGTGGAAAACGATTGAGATCCATCGGATTTCCCGTTGGATTTCCCGATTTCGCCAGAATCCGATATACGAGTATCAGTCGGTGGAACGAAGAAAGCGGTAAAATGGAGTCAAAACCCAGGCGCGCGGTGTAAACGAGCCTCGCAGAATCGCTGGAACGATCGACATCGTGCGGGAGTCACCGACGATTTCGAGGCGGCGCGGCCGATCGACGGGAGATTCACCCGGGACGTCCTCCGATCTAGCGTAATTTTCTAACTCACCGCGCGCGTCACGTAATCGATAAGTATACGAGCATATAAAAAGTGAGACAAAACAGCGGCCGACCGACGCGGCCGTGTTTACGACTAAACGGGACAAAGGGGACAGAAGTGAATCCGTGGGTGCGTCGCGACGCCGTCGTGGAAAAATCGGCCGCCGGAGCGAAACCGTCGCGTACAAAAATAAAAAGAAAAACGAGAGAGAAAGAGAGAAGGGGCAAAATTCGAGACGAGGTAGACAGTTCCGCGGTCTCCAGCGGCACAGCTCGCGAGAAAACGACACTTGTAAAAATAGTGATAACAGGCGGAAAGGGAGATACACAGGGTGGCGCGGACGAACGTCAGGCGATCTGTTAGTCAGCACTCGTAAACAACCTCGGCTGTCCGGTTTCCCACGACGTGTGACTGACGTTGACTTTACGCGGTATCGGGGCGAATAAAAAAGTCGCAGGACGATCGCGTTGAACATGCCGCGAAGGAACACGGATACATCGTCCGTTCTGTCGCACGAAACTACTACTGCAACTACTCTACTGCTGCTAACACTACTATTACTATTATTACCACTACCACTGTACACATATACACACATATACACAGTCGAACACAAATCGCTCACATGTGTATCTCCGTTGCCGCCTAGCCGGACATTTTTTTATATATACAATACAAGAGCAAAATATACGGTGGGGGAGGAGTGCATTGTTAATTTCAAGAAGCTCAGTAAAACGAATCTAGCGAGTATCTCACAGCGTAAGGGAATTTTACATATGGTGTTTGTACATTTAAGGGACAAAAAACCCACGCGGAGAGATCACAGTCCGCGTTCGAACTACTGTACGTAATTAATGAGGAGCATACCACTGAGAGGGGGCAAGAGGTGAAAAAAAAAAAAGAATAATAATAATACGCACATGTGGCATATGTGGGAAACGCGTTCTTTCCGCAAAAACGAGAGAAAGAGAGTAAGGAGGAAGAAAGAAAGAAAAAGGAAAAAGAACAAAAAAGAAACGCGAGTCCGTGTAACATTAAGACGAATTATAAGCTCTAGGCTCGATGTACGGTAATCGTTTTTGGTTGGTGTGTGGAAGCCACGTGGTTATTATTGCTATTGTTTACCGCCGAAGCGACGATCATCATCGTTAGTGCTATTATCTCACCGCAGGACTATTACTACTAATATGATTACTGTTACTATTATCACTACTACTAGCACTACTAAATATTATTATTATGATTATCATTACTACTACTATGATTATTACTAATGTCGTTACTAACTATACTACTACTATTACTACTACCGCTAAAAGCTAATACTATTACCTACCGCTGCTACTATTGTTACTATTATTGCTAACTTCTAACTCTCCACCGGAGACGTGGAGCGCGCGATCGCGCGGAAACTTAGCCGTAAGCTAAGCGACCTCGATTTGCGTTTTTAATATTCCAAGTACGGTATAAATGTTGCGCGGTGAATCGAGCGAGAGAGCGAGCGAGCGAGCGAGAGAGAGAGAGAGAGAGAGAGATAAAGCTCAAGCGACACACGACATATCCCGAATCGGTCGAATCTATAACGGGTAACGTTGACGCGAAATTTGTCACGATTTGTAACGCACGCGCGTTTAATCAAGTCATACGCGAGCGAGTGATGCTTTCCGGACGATATATCGATTTCGTAGGCTTTCCCGATTAGCTTACCGGGCCGAATATAGCGGAATCGGCGTTTCTATAGCGAGGGCCATACCGTGGCCATCCCCCTCGTCATTTCGGAACAATTCGACCCGTAAAAACTTTCTTTTTTCATCGGCCTTCCGATCGGAGATGAACGACGAGTAGAATTCGTTAGTCGTTGTCATTTGTCGCTGCTATTGTATACTTATAATCCGAACAACATTCGCGAGAGACGACGTACGCTGCAGCGTCGCGCGCGTAAATGAATTCATCGGTCACTCTCGATGTTGCGTAATAAGAGTTTGTGAGCGAAACGCGCGACGGATCAGCCCGACTTGGGAGAGACACAGTTATCTTCGCGCGCAAATCTTCTCTTCAGCCCGTCGCGTTCCGTTCGGAAAAAAAAAAATCGTTTCCACGTCGACGCGCTTGATTCTCTCGGTTTCCGATGACCATGGTAATCGGAGACATCGGTAAGCGCATTATATGAGGAAATGAATAACTTTGATATAATACAAGCGTAAAAGACACCAATCTGCTTACCGATATGAAAGCAATTTGTTCGT